TAGCTACAACTACTCAAGAAAAAGATCTTGGAGTCACTGTGGATAGTTCACTGAAAACATCCACTCAGTCTGCAGCCACAGTCAAAAAGGCAAACAGAATGTTAGGAATCATTAAAAAAGGAATACAGAATAAGACAAAAAATATCTTATTGCCTCTATATAAAACCATGGTATAACCACATCCTGAATACTGCGTAGAGATGTGCTCGCCTAATCTAAAAAAAGATATATTGGCATTGGAAAAAGTTCAGAGAAGGGCAACAAAAATAATTATGAATTTGGAACGGGTCCCATATGAAGAGAGATTAAAAGGACTTGGATTTTTCAGTTTAGAAAAGAGGAGACTAAGGGGGGGATATGATAGAGATCTATAAAATCATGACTGGTGTGGAAAAAGTGAATAAGGAAAAGTTATTTACTTATTCCCACAGTATAAGAAGTAGGGGTCACTATATGAAATTAATAGGCAGCAGGTTTAAAACAAACAAAAGGAAGTTTTTCTTCACTCAGCGCATAGTCAACCTGTGGAACTCCTTGCCAGAAGATGCAGTGAAGACTAGAACTTTAACAGGGTTCAAAAAAGAGCTGGATAGATTCATGGAGGTTAGGTCCATCAATGGCTATTAGCTAGGATGGGTAGGAATGGTGTCCCTAGCCTCTGTTTGTCTGGAGGTGTGTTCCCTCCCTCTGGAGCATCTGGAACTGGCCACTGTCAGCAGACAGGACACTGGGCTAGATGGACCATTGGTCTGACCCAGTCTGGCCGTTCTTATATTCTTATGTCTGACTCATAAAAGGCCAGTCTCAGGCAGTGACTGTCTACATGGTCTCCAACACCAGGCAGCTCTTCAGCTGTCTGGGCCTCCTAATAAATGAGCAAAAATCAACCCTTCTATCCACACAGGGCATGGAGTTCATTGGGGCCCGCCTCAATTCGTTGGCAGCCAGAGCTTATCTCCCGCTGCACCCATGTTCAGAATTACGTGACCGTACTACTAGCCACTCCTACCACTGCAGTCCTTACCTGCCCCCAAGCAATGCCTTCCCGCTCATACCCAGAGTTCTACACAAGATCCAGATTGACAAGGTGTGGATAAATCTCTGTAACATTTCCATGCATCATTCTTATATAACTTTGTATTAAGAGAAACTTTGTAAGTCCTTTTATATATATACACACACAGGGCTCGCCAAATGGCGGCAAGATGAAAGTCTTGTCAACATCAGAGCATCGATCCGGATTGGCAGAAACCTGGCTCCACCCCTCCCTCATCTAACTGACCTGGCCAGTGTAGTTAGGGAGAGCAACTATTGGTCACAAGAAGATGGCGTGTTCTTGTGTGAGTGCATGAGTGTAATGTATCCTATGCCTATGATAAAGTATTGATTGATTGACCAATGTATGTTCAATAAATGTGGCGTGTTGCCTTATCCCCCTGAAAAAGATCCCGGGTGCTTCTTTTAAGCACACCAGAGGCTCCAGTCATACTGATAGCACCATGATGGGCCAGACAGACCTGGTTCCCAGTCTTACACACGATGTCTGCAGCCACGCCATATTCTCTCCCATCCCATCCCATCCCAACATCCTATCTCAGGACAGGGGCAGATTACTTCACCCTAAGCACAGACACTTCACTTACACACCTGGCTCCTGTCTGGTTCCAGGGCACGGAATCCCTATGTTCAGAGTGAGAAAAAGCCATCCTCCTACAGAGCAGAAGGCCAGCCACCAGAGCTACCTACATGCAAAAATGGAGAAGATTCTCAGCCTGATGTCACTTGTCCCGTGTGGATCCTCACACCACACCGCTCCACCAGATTCGTGAGTGCCTACATCATCTCAAAACTGGTGGTCTAGCAAACCCCTCTGTGAGGGTTCAGCTCGCAGCGATATCGGCTCTCCGTGAACACATACAGGGCTCATCCATATTTGCGCACCCCACAAAAAGAAGATTTCTGAAGGGTCTCCAAAATCTTTATCCTCCTGTCAGGGCCCCTCCCCCTACGTGGGGGTGTGTCTAGACTACAGGGTTTTGTCGACAAAACTATCCCTGCATCCACACTGCCTTTGAGGTATGTCGACAAAACGTCGACAGAACTCAGCAGTTTTGTCGACGTATGTAAACCTCATTCTACGAGGAATAACGCCTTTTGTTGACAGAGTTCTGTCGATAGAAGGTGTTACTGCATCTACACTGTCCTTTGCGTCCACACTGTTATGTCGACAAAGCGGCTTGCTTTGTCGACAGAACTGTATGTGGTCTAGACGCTCTTTGTCGACAGAAGCTTTGTCAACAGTATCTGTCAACAAAACTTCTGTCAACAAAACCCTGTAGTCTACGCGTACCCTGGGAGCTAAATCTTGTCTTAAGACTGTCTCGTGAGGCCCCCTTTCGAACTCTTGGCCACTAGTGACGGTGCTGTTCCTTACAGCCAGCACCTCCGCAAGGAGGGTTGGTGAAATAGGGGCTCTCACGACGGACCCGCCGTATACAGTCTTCACTAAGGACAAAGTCACATTACGCCCACATCCAACATTTTTACCCAGAGTCTGCACGTCCTTCCACATCAGCGAGCCTAGAATGCTACCAGCGTTCTTTCCAAGGCCTCACGTTCCCCCAGGGATGCCATGCTCCACACATACGACACATGACAAACGTCGGCCTTTTATAAGGACAGAACACGGCCATTCTGCACGTCGTCTCGCTTGTTTGTATCCATCGCCTCACAGTGTGCGCCTATCTCAGCCCAATCTATTTCCAGATGGGTTTCATCCTGCATGGCCTCCGCAACAGGCCTTTGCCAACTCCTCTAAAGGCTCACTCTGCCCGTGCAACTGCAACCTCCACAGCCTTCCTTACCAACGTACCCCTTGAAGCACGGGTTCCCAAACTGGGGGGGGAGAAATTCCAGGGGAGTGCGAAGTGACCCAGCCCCCACCCCCAATCAACCTTTGCTGCCCCGATCAGGTTTTTTTTTTCTTTTGCTCAATAAGTTTTGCTATTTTTGGGGGGAGGGGGCGTGAGGGTTTTTCAAAAATCAAAAAGGGGGCGTGATGCCGAAAAGTTTGGGAACCACTGCCTTAAAGACATCTACAGGGCAGCCACCTGCTCCTCAGACTGTACTTTCATGAGGCAGCCAATTCAGCACTGGCTATGCGAAGGTATCTAAGCCGCTAAGCAGTGACTCTGATCTCACCACCCAGGGGGACATCACTGGAAGCAGAAAAGGGAGTTCCTTTTTCCCCATGGGTGCTCTCCTCCCCCCCTAATTTCTTGGATGGAGAAGAGGAACTGAAGAAGTGGGGGAGCTGTGTGCGCGAAGCGCCAAGCTGAGCACAGTGCCAGGCCACAGACACCGCTCCACGGGACGTCCCTGCGGGCATGTCTACACTACAGCGCTAGTTCCAATTCACTTAATGCAAAATAGTTCATCTGAATTATGCTAATTCGAAATAACGCATCTATACACAAAAGCCATTTCGAAATCGCCTTCAGAACAGTCCCTCCCTGCGCTCACATGCGGGCTGGTGGGCACCGCGCAGCAGAATTCAAAGCAGCCCCGGCCTCGCCCAGCAGGCCCTGCAGGGAGGCGGGCGG